ACTGACAGTACAGATTATACCAATTAACTGCATGAACACTGTAAATATCTTTTGATTGTGTAGTTCACTTATGCAGTGATAGATATAAGTACCAAAGTTTTTGTGTTATGATTATTTAAAATTCTGAATAATTATTATGAATTAAAGGTGCATGTAAATTCTTGAATATAATCATTACAAATATCTCAGTGGGCCATTATTCAGTGGTATATTCATCTTTATTGCATGCATACATTTCACATACACTGCATGTTATGTTATCAAGTATTATTATTATTATTATTATTGATGTACATGTTCTTAACTCTCCATTTCAACTTCAGCTATTTCTTCTTCCCGTAGCTGAGGTGGGAGTGTACTAGTATCAACCACACCTCCATTACCCAGTGCTTCCACTTGTGACTTTGTCTTCACATTGTCCCATGATATGTTACTGATACCAGTGTTCACGTCCCAACTCGGATCAAACTCTTTCCCTTTAGAACCACGTCCTGGGGCCCAAGCAACCTATCACGATAATATGATGTAATGATATGTTAGTTGCTTCATAATCGGACTAAAGTCCTTGGCCAAATTTTGTCAAAATTAAACGGGACAGAATTCTCCATTTAAAATTTTTTTTCTGATACATTATACGTGTTCTTACATGTATAATATATGCATATAGAAAGTTTGAGCTGCAAGTTTGGATTTTTTTTACAAATTATTGAAGTTTCTCAAACCGTATCAGGCCAAAATCCTTGTACTATACACGTAGTACAAGGATTACATTTTTTCCCCGTTACATTCTCTGATGCATTTATTAACAATCTCTCTCTCTTTCTCTCGTACTTTGCATTTCTGTCCAAGGACTTTTGGGTCTCTCAGTTGATCTACTACTTTAGCCGCAGCCTCGCGAGTTTCCATGACAACATAGGCACACCCACGAGCAACAATAAACTAAAAGTACAGGAAGAGAATATTGTAATAAGAATACAGGTTACATGTGTACATGTACATGTAAGTGCATGTAGACTAATGTCAATTGAAGTTACTGCTCCGTATTTTTCTAACATTTTTGACAGCTGGTCAGTGTGACAATTTCAACAATTTTGTATGTAAAGCATAAACCTGCAATATCGCGTGCATTACACATGTAGTTTTAACAACAGCCGATTCTCATCACTTTAAGTTATGTATTTTTAATCAGTGATTTGCTAATGTTATTGATTTAGCGTGTACTAATTTATTGCGATTCTGCTCTTTTCTCAATTTGTCATCCACAAATAGATATAAAAATTAGTTCATGCAAGAAATAGTGACTTTAATATATGGCTACATGTACTTCAAACACTCTCTACCTTTCCCTTTCTCTCCCTATTTGTCCCCTCGTTCTTTTGCCTTCTTTCTCTTTTGCCTCCCCCCTCTCTCCCTCCCCTTCATCCCTCCCTCTCTCCCTCCTTTAGGAAGAAGGCATTATAAGTGACTGGCAAGGTCTCATCTCTAGCTCCTGGGGATCATGGTTTCCACATTCATCAGTTTGGAGATTATGCATCTGGTAAAAGAGAGGGAGGGGAAGGAAAGAGAGAGAGAGGGAGAGTAGAGGCAATTTTAGTTTTCTTAATTACAAGTTGTAAATGTCACAGATTGCATGTTTGTTGTATTGAAGCCCAGTACATGTACCTGTGATCATGTACATGTGTATATCCAGTGATTGTTTCTAATTGTCCCTAATGTTTGCTAAACACTGTAGAGTAAGGGACCTTTAATTGCTGCCATTGGGTCTTAAGTAATAAAGCTATTAGCAGTACATGTACATTGTGTAACTTAAAATATCCTTCCATTAAATTCTGAGCTGTTTTGACCAATGATGCATGAGTATTGGCAAGCAGATCAGCCTTCATATAGTGTCACTACATTAAGATCTATCCTGTATCTATAGACACACGTACATTGATTTGATAACTTAGGATCACCACATGTACAGTGTAATAATAATAAAAAATTCTTTCATTATTCATGTCATGAATAATGAAAGAATTATATTTTATTATTATTACACTGTGTACATACATGTACATACATGTAGGTACATGCTGATCCTGATGATCTTGGTAAAGATGGTCATCCTGACAGTCTAACTACTGGTCATGCTGGAGCTCGTCTGGCCTGTGGGGTGATTGGTAGCACCAAATTACAATAAACAACAACAGCAACAATAAACAACTTTATTTAGTTATGTGAAACATTTCCATTTATGTAGTGATTTTGCTGTTGACATTAAAAAATCATTGTTTCTTATAGAGATACATGTACATGTACATGAATAAGCAATGAGCATGTTCATTTTCCAGTACAGCAAATTGCACAGACCTTGCAAACCAATTCATAAACCAATCTATGAACTTCAAAGGAGACTTTCTAGATTGAGGCGTGTCTTTGCATTGTGTTGTCACATTACCACCTACTTGGCAGTTTGCAAGGTCTATACAAGAGAATAGCTGTATTATTAGTTAGTTAGTAATTAATTAGTTAATGACTAACATTAAAGCACGATATTGACAACAGTAATTTACTTTTGATAATGATGCATGAAATATTTGTTATTTCCAGCTGATTGCAACCTGTTTATATTAATATTAAGATTTATGGCATAATTTATGCAAAATCACTATTCACTAGCCTCACCAGGCCTATGAATTTATCAAAAAAAACACTCTACTAAAGTGCTGATTTTGCATTTCTTTTAAGTTTATATCTCAAGAACTAGAAAGAATCAATAGATAAAAGGTAAGCTACATTATAATTAGGTAAACTACTAAACAATTTTTGAGGTTATAGTAAAACAGTAGTACATGTATTATGCATTGTTGCTTTATGTTTAGTTGCCTTGTTTGAATTCAAATGGCCTGTAACAGAGATATCTCTTTTAATGACTTTTTGAATCAGAAGCCACCAAAAGAAGAGCTAATTCAACACATTGACACTAAAAATGAATGGCTCGTGTTTGGAGTAATACTGGGATCTATGCTGGAACTGAAAAAAGAGGATATAGATGAGCTCTTAACGAGTGGGAAGACAGTAGCACTGATTGAGTTATGGCTAAACACTCCTACTGCAAGCAGGAGACAATTGCTAGAGGAATTGAGAAAGGATCCAGATAAACAGGATGTGGCTGATGATTACGATCAATATCTCACAAATATATTTACATATTGTTAGTATATACATGTTTATCTTAATGCACCCATTACCTACATGTGCTTTGTAGTTCCTGCAGTCATACAACTGCACATACTCATCTTACATCCATTATGTAATGTGTATATATACTCATAGTTATTTTAGTGATGTCATTGTATGCTACATGTATGTACCATGCAGGACTATTTTTATAGGTGAACAATCATCTGAATTGGATAAGGGTCATGCTGATCACAAAAGTTTTGTATCAGGAAAAGAGGAACCCTCAAGTAAAAATATGAAAAAGTTAGTTGCTGTATTGCTGTATTGTATATGTAGATGCTGAGGAAAGAATGAAGAATGAGATTGTGACTTTAGAAGCTGCTCTCAAAGAGCAGGAAGACTGATGGTAGGAATGATTCAATATTGTTGATTTAATATATTATTGTGTGATTCAAGAGCTGCTAGCTGTTATTCAAAGAAAGGAAGAAGAAAAAATTGGTAAAAATAAAACAACAGATTTTGAATTAAATGTACATGTAGATATTGAGGAAAGAATGGAGAAAGAAATTGAGACTGTAAAAGTTGCTCTCAACGAGAAGGAAAATGGTAGGAATCATTCAATCTTGTTTAATTAAATATATTGTATATTTCAAGAGCTGCTAGTTGTTATTCAAACAAAGGAAGAAGAGAAAATTGGTAAGAATAAAATAACAGATTACGAATTAAATGATGTACATTATATAGCTATGNAGGAAGAAATGCAGCTGGCCAACAAAGAGAAGGAAAATGGTAAGAACATGGTCATTTTAAAAATTAATTTTGAATGAATATTGAAGAATTGAATTCTGAGATTCAAGATTTGAAAGTTCGTATTAGTAATAATGAAGAAAAAATTGCTGGTTAGAACAGTTTTTAATAATGATAATCTATATTGATGCACTTATAACAGCTGCTAATAAAGAATTAGAATCTACTAAACAGAAATTAGCTGAGGAGAAGGAAAAGGTGGCTACTCTTGAAAGATCATTCGCTTTATCCAAAGAAGAAATTAAAGTTGAGAATGAATCAAAGATTAAGTTATTGCAAGAAAAACTGTCGACAACAAATGAAGGTGATGATAATGACATAATCGTATAATTTGATGTATGCACTTTGTAGAATTAATATCCACAAAGCAACTGCTGTCTGATAAAGAAGAAGAGTTGAAAGCACAAAGAGGTATACATAAATGCAATTATACAATATTTGTTCACATATGATCACAGATATGACGGAGTCTATCAATGAGAAGTTAAAGATGGAACAAAGGATGACAAAAGCAAAGGACAGAGAAATTGATGATTTGAGAACTAAGCTTCAAAATATAGAGCAGCACAAAAGTAAGTCATGGAGTACACTTTCTTATTCATTAATGATGTTTGCTCTTATAGTGATAAAATTGGGTGATTTTGAAGTCCGTTTTACCTCTCCATCAGCAGAGCAGTGTCCAAATCTCCTGACAAAGATAAAGGACAAACATCGACACGTTTACCTCAATGATTCATCTTCTGATGTTGCTCAGTTGCTGCTGATACCTCTGTTGCAGATGAAAAATATCAGCAGTTTGTATATTCACTCAACTCCATTTACATGTGACTTTGTTGAGTTCTTCTCATCTCAAATTTCAGATAATAACACAGTAGAGAGTTTGTATATCAATCACAATTCCATTGATGATGAAGGGGTCATTATCCTAGCTCAATTTCTAAAGCATAACAAGAAGCTTCAGCACCTATCACTTCAGTTCGATACTGGAATCACTTCAGTCAGCGTCCCATCACTTGTTGAACTTATATGCATCAACTCCACATTGTCTGTTCTCAATGTCTCTAACACTAGCATTGATACTGAGGGAGTGCTGGAACTGGCCGAGTCTCTCAAGTCGAATGTAAGACTGGGAAAGATCGTAGTAGATGAGAAACACAAAGCAATGTGCACTCCGTTATTACTTGGTGCTAGACTAGCCTACTCCTATGATTCTACTCCTTACGAGCAGGCAGGCACTGCTAAAAAATAATACTTTGCCCCATCAGTGTTCCAAAGTCTATTTGTTTTATTTTTATTTTTGTATTGTCTCCCCAGATTTTCTTTGTCTTTGCCTTAATTCTCTTACATACCAATTATTAACACGTCATGTATATAAATATATACATTGTATATATGTTATTATAATGAAACAAAATTTATATTAAAAACACTTTTGTGAAATAAAATCAGCTGAGGATGGTAAGAAGATACAAGCATAGATCACATGTGGATATTCTGTTAATTTTGGCTGTTAATTTTGGAGTGGACGAGTGGTTAGGATAACAAAATATTATTTAAATTTCCTTAAAACTTTAGTGATTTTTTTCTTTATAATTGGACAAAGCCTTTAGTGATGAAGTGAGTTTGTACAGACATGGTCTAACTATTTTTAAAGTTAAATAACCTAATCTTCATGATTTATTATGACAGCATGGCTAAGGGGCATAGATTCATTACTTGTTTACTCACCTCAGTGCTGTCACGTGCGATCTAGATCTACTGAGCTGGCTATAGCTGCATTGTAGGGTGGGGCTCGTTCCCATCCAGGCCAGGCCTGACCTTTCGGCAAAAGTAATTTTGGTTTTTAGTCCTATGGCGTCTGAACTCTGAAAGTAAGATTTCATTAAAGTTGCTGCTTAATCATTGCTCTATTTAAGATCAGCTACATAAAAGAGCTGCTCACCGCACTGTATCAGTAGGTGATTCACTGTATGTGTGGGGTGGTGATCAGGATGGTTTACCTAAAGTACATGATAGTGAAGAGAAGAGAAGGATCATTAGTAATATACAGCACTTTACTCCTTCCACTGGTCAATGGATCACTAGAGACACTACTGGTACTCCTCCATTAGGAGTGAGGGGATACTGCTGTACTGCAATAAATAATCAATTGTATTATTTCGGGGGCTATTGTGGCCATGACGACTGCCTTCACAACAGTATTACACAACTGGATACCGTTAGTCTTCAGTGGAGAGAATTAGAACCAACTGATCCCCGTGGACCAGTTATGAGGAGATGTGATGGTGGAATGATATCATTTGAACATGATGGAGTACACCATTTACTAATGATAGGAGGATATGGATCTGAGCCAGCTAAACAACTATCTGGTTATAAATATATTGAGTTAGGTTTACCTAGTGGAAACTGGCGTACTAATGAGCACTCGATATATAATCTATCTTCAGGTAAAATTTTATGTACTTTTTCAAATATGTTACTACTAAGAATTATAATTTAGGAAAATGGAGCAATCCTTCAATCATTGGTCAATGCATGCTACCTGCCGATGGCTTCATCATTGAAAAAATCAACAACACTAGAGCTGTTCTGTTTGGTGGAGCAGTGACTAATGATGATGCTAAGACCACTTTCACTAACAATATTTATATAATAGAGATATCAATCAGCACTGTGGTATGTTAAATATGCAATGTTTTTGTCAATTATTTTTATTTATTAGACCTGGCAGGGTATAAAGAAACCTGAAGCAATATGCCAATGGCCTGCGAGTAGATGGCTTCATGCAGGTGCTATTATTATAACTGGATCAGACTGTCCTATGCTAGTGATAAGTGGTGGGTTGGATAAGAATGGTGATACATTGGATGATTATTGGATATTTAATATCACTCAACATTGCTGGATAAAGGTATGTTAATAAGATCTGGACAGTGAGTTATAATTCTTTCTATCAACAGTTGGATGTACCGGCTGACTCTGTTAGTAAAAGAGATAGTCATTCTCTTTCAGTGCTCATTCCTAGGCCTTATTGTGTTTTGATAACTGTTGGAGGATGTGTTGATAAAAATGGAACATATGCTAACATTGCCACGTTAACTAAACTTGGTCAGTTACAATGCACACTTTAATTTCGCATTCATGTACATTTATTTATACACGTAGAGACTCTACACATCCACTAAATTTTATCGTTATATTTTAGTTGCTAACAGTAAAGAAGAGTGGACAGTAGGCGATACATTAGATACCAACGGCATGAATAATGAAGAATACAAGAAGAAGCAGCAACTACAGACAGGAAGAATATGGTTGGAGGAGTACCAGAAACCAAGAAAAGAAGATACAGCCAATATTGAGCAAACCGTACAAGCTCTTATCCAAAGTCTTGAAGAGAAGGAGAGAAAATTGCAAGAAAAGGAGAGAGAAGCACAAGTTTATCATCAACAATTGAAGCAGAAGGAAAGAGAAGAAGCAGAGAAAGAGCAAGAAATAAGAAGATATCGTCATGAGCTACAAGAGAAGAATAGAGAAGAGGAAGAGAGAGAGGAGAGATATCATAACCAGTTACAAGAGAAGGATAGGGAGCTACAGGAGAAAAATATTGCAATATATAAGAAGGATAGGGAGCTACGTCAGTCTCAAGAGGCAGTTCGTAGGTACCAGCAACAAGAGCTTAGTGATGATCACTGGGTTATTGATAAAGATGAGGTGACTTTGACAATGGAGGAGTTAGGAAGAGGATCTTATGCTGTCGTTACAGTTGGTATTTTTAGAGGTTTAAGAGTAGCCGTCAAGTCACTTCATAATATCATCATCTCAGATGTCAATTTAGCTCTCTTCTCCAGAGAAATGAGTATAGCATCACAAGTACGTCATCCTAACCTGGTCCAGTTTATTGGTGCAACTAAAGTGGGTAATCCCCTCATCTTGACTGAGCTGATGAGCACTAGTCTTAATCAGGAGATTTGCAGAAACCAATTAACCAATGAACAGATTCTGAGTATTGCTCAAGATGTAGCTTTAGGCCTCAACTACCTTCACCTGTTTAAGCCTCAGCCTATTATTCACAGAGATGTGAGCAGTCCTAACGTATTATTAAAGCCTTGCACTGGACCTGCTGGTTATGAAGCTAAAGTAGCAGATTATGGTACAGCCAAAGTAGTGCAAGCTGAAGGTACTGGTACTGTTATGCCAGGCACTGCTGCATATGCTGCACCAGAAGCTCCTATTCCTGATCAACACAGTCCAGCAATGGATGTGTACAGTTATTCTGTTCTCCTTATGGAAATGAATTTGCGCTCTAAATTGGAAATGACAACATCTGATAGAGAAGTACAAGCTGGTAGTGTCTCCTGGTCTGATATGAAGTCTCTCATACAAAGAGGACTTAATGTTGATCCTAGAGCTCGTCCTACTATGACTCAAGTAATAGAGTCATTGGAAAAGATGAACATTTGATACATAAACCGCTGCATATTCTTAGCTTACAAGCATACTACCTTGTAATCTTTTTTTGAGTTTAGAATAATTTTTGCTGAATTTTGTACCTTATTATCCCATTCCAATTTCTTTGTCTCTCCCAATTCCAGTTTTTCTTTTAATTTTGTAATAATTTTAATCAGAAAGTCCAGCTAATCGTCAACCGTGTAACTTAGTTACTCAAAGCAAAGACATTCTTTGCTCAGAGTACATGTATGATGTAAGTTTAGCCTACTTTATTGTATCATACAAAAAATTAGAAAAAAACAAATTAAAATAATAATAATTATTATTATTATTTATTATTGATGTACATGTTATATAATGAAACAAAATTTATATTAAAAACACTTTTGTGAAATAAAATCAGCTGAGGATGGTAAGAAGGTACAGGCATACATTACATGTGGATATTCGTGTACTCTATAATGTTGAATACATAATCTCATCTCATTAATGTTGACCAGTGTACAACATCACACGATGATAAGTGGCAAGATATTGTCAGGTATATAATCAGTTATTTTAGTATGAAACTATTGCAAACTTGGAAAAGTAGAAAAAACAATTAAAATACATTATTATTATTATTATTATTATTTCATAAACCACACAATTAAATTTATAATTGGGACACTTTCCTCATCAGTTTATAACAAATAAACTTGGATGTTCTAGTTCTCGGCACTCATATGCTTCACTCAATATTCTCGCTGTTCCTAATAG